CATTTTGTTCTTAAAACTACTATCAGATATGAAGAAAGCAGGTTTTTTTTTTGTTTTTGTTTTTGTTTTTTTCTATATAGACATTCTTTCCTCCAGTGATGAGGGTCTTAGAAAACTTAAAGGACATTTGGCTGTGGCGGCCTCTGGTAGCCCAAGGATGGGTGGAGAGGACTGGCTTGATGCCAGTAAGTCTACATAGATGATTGTAGCAGGGTGCCACACCCTTTGTTCTGACCCTTTTTTGGAAGTAACTTCTGATCCTCATTTAAAGGTATCCATAGTAGGAGGTCCGAAGAAGTATAAAGTGAAAGAGTATTGGACATTATGTCTCATTCAAATGTGTCTTCTTGAGGGGAAAGGAGTCTGTGTAAAGGGACTCAATGACCTGCTTCCAGCAACTACCCCTATCTCCACAGGCCAGTTGAGGTAGATAATGGTAATTGGCGACAGTCATGAAGTCTCATTTCCTTGCTTGGCCTGAGCTTAAGCAGTTTGCATCTCAGTGACACCCAGTGAGGCTCCTGTTTTGCAGGTGAGGATTTGAGGCAGTGAGTTCTCAAGCCCAGTCTCTCGCAGATGGTTAAGGAGGAGTCAGGATTCACACAGAGTGGATCCAAGACGTGCCTTCGGAGCCAAGCTGGCTCCTCCTGGAAGGACCTCCAATCAGTTCAGCAGAGTCAGATATCTGGGTGGATTTTCATTTTCCTGGTCCTCCAATCAAAATTTACTGCTTGATTGATTCAGACTTGATTGTTTGAATAGTAAAGAAAGGACGAGTGTTACAGCTTCCAATTTCTACTTATAGTATGTAGCCGTTCAGGTCAGCTGATGACTATTGTGTGAGCCCACAGACTGCCCGGTTTGGAGGCCCATGATGGGCACAGATGTGCCAGTCCTTTGTCAGGGCAGCAAAGGAATTTCCAGAACTATTCAATTAATGCAATGGAATAGTTAGCTCTGCTTACGATTTTATTATTATTAAATGTGGTTTCTACTGTTAGGGCATGGTTTAAGGATTAAATAAAGGGCTATCCATATACTTAAGGCAGCCAGTTTTTGAATATTATCTGAATATTTATCCAATTTATAGTAAAACCTTTTTTTGTTTGTTTTTTTGAGACAGGGTTTCTCTGTGTGGCCCTGGCTGTCCTGGAACTCACTCTGTAGACCAGGCTGGCCTCAAACTCAGAAATCCGCCTGCCTCTGCCTCCCAAGTGCTGGGATTAAAGGCGTGCGCCACCACCGCCCGGCTAGTAAAACCTTTTTAAACATAAGTATGTAGTCTTTGATTATTTTTTTTTAAGATATCACCATGCAAGATATGGCTTTTTAAAAATATGTTTTTGTTTTGTCTCTTTTTTGGGGGTTTTGATATACAGTTTTACAGAGTTGAATTTTACTTCAACATTAGAGGAAACATGGAGGCTGGGGAGCTGGCTCAGTGTAGCTCAGTGAGAATAGGGATCTGAGTTTGAGTTCCCAGTCAGTCCCCAAAAGAAAACCTGAGCATGATATTTGAGTCAGCAGGTATGGATCCCAAAGGCTTACTGATAAGCTACTCACAAAACAGTGAGACTTTGCTTCAGTGGGAGACCCTGTCCTAAGACTGTGAGGTTGAGAGCCATAGTAGAAGACACCCAGTGTCCTCCTCAGGCCTCCCATGGGTACACAAGGGTGTATTCACATCCTCCCACCTCAAATGCTAACTGGGTAGCAGTGGAGTCGGAGTCAATTGGACAGATGCTAAAAATAAGCTAATGCAGTTTAATGTTTTTCAACAGCACATGGACATTAAGAATGTCCTGGGTATTTTGTTTTAGGCCTTCTCTTGCCCACTTGCCTTTCCAAAGTCTGACCAACGCATTCAGTGAACGAGAACATTTGTGTATCTTGCATCATGCTGGTCATATAAAATATTTTTATGCACTTCCCTAGTAGGCAGAGCCTTTATCCCTGCACTAGAGATGGCAGCAAGCAACACCACACAGAGCTATTCGCACATTCAAGGCAGGGCTTGAGCATATAGTTCAGTGGCGGGCCAGGCCCCTGACATGAAGTCCAGTTCAGTTCTCAGCACAACAAAAACACACACAACAAACAAATACAGGCTGAAGATGGCTGTAAGGGTAAGCAAAGTAGGGAGTAAGAGGAAGTTAGGAAGTGTCCTCTGTTAGGCCAGAGTCCAGCATAGAATGTCACTAGGAGGCTTTTGTGGGAATAGTGGACAGAAGAGGCCTTCCCCTCGGCCCACAGTCTGAGAACTGGTCTTGATCAAGTTAGTGTTTCTATTTTGTGTTTCCTCTTATCTGTTGAAGTATTGGACATTGCGTGTCTTGCATTTATCAATATAAAATAGAAACCTTGAAAATAAATGGTACAAATAGAGACCATGGGACCCATATCCATTCCTGAAGTGCGCCCTCCATCTACATGGTGCTGGGTGGTGTCAGTTCTGGGCACACTTGCTCTGGTGGGGCCACTCATCTAGGGCAGACTTTACTTTTAGTTTTGGCTTGTCCAGGCACTTGGCTTGTTACCTTGAGCCTCTCTCTACTGGTTAATTTAAAAGCTCTTAGGGGTGTGCCCCGTGGCCACCCAAGCCCAGGAGCTTCCTGCTTCCTGACTTCATCCACTGGGGTGTGTGTGTCACAGTGAACTCTACTCCAGCAATCTTGGGCCATGTGAATTCCTGGTATTATGGGTTTCAGTGATAGGAAGCTAATTTGGCTGGCCTGTGTGTCTTTGTGTTCTGGAGCACGTTGTAAATGCTCACACTTAGAAAGGAATGTAAAGTGAAGGGCCAAAAAGCAAGGTCACTGCTATTGGATCTGTCATGGAGTAGTCTTGCTTTGTATTTTGAAAGGTGGCTTATCGTTATAAAACGTCAGAGGCTGAAGGACTGGAAACATTTATTTCAAGCTATTGAAAGGACGTAGGGCTTCATGAGGGCTCTATCATTCCTGATGCTCAAGTGTGCATTTAATAAAAGTGCAATCACTTTGAGACCCATACATCTGTGAGACTACACGTTCATGGCACTTTTGTACTTTAGATAATTTACTGTTTGAAGTGATAATGGCGGTCACCGTTAGAATTATGGGCCACAAGTTCACAGCTGCTTCTAGTGATATTTCCCACTTAACAATTTCCAAAAAAGAATTCTATTCAGTTTTACAAGTTGGTTTTCTTTTAGTTGAAGAGATAAATTATAACCTTACCAGTGTTGCCGTGAAATTTCTCCAGATTACCTTTTTTTGAAGTATAGTAGTCAAACAGAAAAATATATGATAACTCAAAGATCAACTCTCAAGGGCTCAGGAGATGATAAAGTGCTTGGTCTGAAATTGGGAGGCTTTGAGTTTGATCCTAGAACTGATCTTAAGAAATGACCCATAAGCTGCTAAATTTACAGGTTGAAGATTCCTTAGGAGGTAAACACTCTCTGCCACGGCCTCTCCCATGTTCTACCCCAAGGGTACCAATCACTTTTCTTTTGCTTGTTTTAGTATTTTTATGTTAACCTATCCATATTACCTATACCCTTCTTCTCTCACTGTTTGGGAGACTGAACCATACCCTAGAACAAAGTTTCAGACTGTTCAATCCCTTTGCTACCTAGTGTTCACCTGTGTATGCATTCCATAAAGACACTAGGAAGTCTCCTGGGTATGACTTCTGCCAAATAGACAAACAAAACAAAACAAACAAACAAACAAAACTGTTCTTAAGTGTGTACCTGGAACAGGATTTACAGGGTTGTGGACTATGGGCATATTTAGTTTAAGTAGATATTACCAAGTGGGATCAGAGTGAAGGGATCAGATGTTTTCACCAGCGATATGAGGACTTATGGATTTCCTGTTGATGCTCTTCTGGGTTGGAGCTGCATATTGTCCATCTTGTGTCCTGCTTATTCTGTGAAAAGGAAGAGTTGTTGATGCTGGGAAGCTGAGTTCAACCTTGGTCTGTCTTCACTCATCTCTTCCTTTTTCTCCATATGAATGTGTGCTATGTACATTACTACCAGCTTGATGTGTGGAATATGTTCAATATACATGTTGACAGCAAATGCATTTTTTCTTCTACTACTTATGCTGAAAAGCTATCCCAGAGGCCATCTAGATCAGGCTTCTGCAGTGTGGTTCTCACTGATGCCCTGTGTTGATAATGATGGAAAATACTTACTTCCGTACTTGAGGGAGGCCCCTCTGTTCTGCTATACATTATTAATTTAAGTCTCTCCAACACTGAGGTGGTATCTGGTTCCTTTTGACTTTCTTGTAAACATCATGCTCTTTCACAGGAAAAAAAAAAGCCCTACATGCCTGTAATAGAATTGAGACTGTTCAGGTCTTACTTAGTTCATGTTAGTTTTTTTTTTTTTTTCCTGGAGACTGAGTATTACTAAGTAGTCCTGGCTAGAATTCACTAGCCCTAGTGGCCTTAAATTCAGAGATCTGACTTTCTCTGCCTCCCTGGTGTTGGGGTTAAAGGTATCAGATCCCATACATGGCTCTTGGCCCATTTTAAAAACTATAATCTGGAGGACCAGGATTTTTTAACAGTTTGCCAAGGGTTTTCTTGGGTGGAAAAGCTGTAGACGATGGAGGGGAAAACTCAAATATATACAAAGCTGTTTGTTTGGTTTTTCTCCTTTCAGTTGTACGTATGTTTCTGGTTTTCCTTCATATGCATGCTTTGATTTTTGCTTAAAAACCTTCAGAGTGAGTTTAAACATTATTTAAAGAAAATTGAACAACTTCTCAGGCTATCATGGATAAAACAAAAAAAAAAGAGCAAATGATTTCTTTTTATAGAAAACTCACTGTAATATTTAAGTCAATGGTCATGGGAAGACTCGTGTGCTATGTGCTCTGATTTCAGAACATACAGGGGAATTTTAACACTGATAGACCTTTGTAAGGAAAATGAATTTTAGTTATAGCTAATAATTTAAGGTTCATGGGTATTATTTAATCAATATGTTCTTTTTTTTACAGGCAAGAAGAGACTGACAGGAGACTGAAAAATGTAAGCTGTATTTCATGGAGTGTTATAAATAGCTTTTCCTTTATATTCTGTAAAGTCATAATAGATCTAAGAATACATGCAGTGTCATCTTTTCTAATTAGATTTTACCTAGAAACCAACCAGTTAGAGTCTAAGAGCATGTATTATAATACATTGTTAGGCTTTGTATAGACCGAAATTTGGCATAAAATGGAAAATTAAGTTTCAAGGGCTGGTTGTTAAATTTCTAATCTGGCAACACCAAACTCAATTCAAAAGTCTCAGCAGGAGATTATCAAATTAGACATTAAAAGAAGACACTGACTGCTTAAGAACTCTAGGTAGTTATTCATTATAGGCTGGCATCATGTCCTTAATATTCTATAATTATAAAAGAATATTTAAAAGTAACATTCTATTTAAAAATATGGTCACCAAGCAATGAGAATTACTGACTTTTGGTGTTTATTATATAGTTTTTTTGGGAAAATAGTGACATAAAAAGTTTCACTTGTAGGCCAGGGAGATGGGCCTCAGTGGGTAGAAGAGCTTCTTGTATAAGCCTGGTGGCCTGAGTTCGGATCCCTGAAACCAGTGTAAAAGGCTGGAAACAGTGGTGTATGCAGATTTACAGCACTCAGTGTGAGATGAGGGTCAGAGACAGAGAATTGCTCAGAAATTCATGGCCAGCCATGCTTAGCGGAGCAGCAAGCTATTAGAGAGGCCTTGTCTTAAGACAAAGCTAGAAAGTGGAAATCAGCTTCCAGAAATTGTCCACACTTGTGGACCTGTATGTTTTCTTTCTGTCTCTCTGTGTCTATCACACATACTTACCCTCCTCTCCCCAGCCCCGAGTTTCACTTGGAGTTTATACTCATCTGATTTTTTGAGACAGCTTCTCATGTAGCCTAGTCTGTTCTCATAGTTTTCATGTACACATATGACCTTTGAACTTCTTCTGATCCCCTTGCTTCTGACTTCTAAGTGATGGGGATCCAGATATGCACCACCAGGCCCAGTTTTATGCAATGCTGAGCACTAAAGCCAGGGCCCCACACATGCTAAGAAATTATTCTACTGAACACCACCACTAACCCTTGTGTGCTTTTCTTACTAACCACTCCTCAAGAGTAGAGTGTCTGATTGCCTATTGAGTTCTGTGCCTTTTGATCTGAGGACCCATTTTGAATCAATGGGTCCACAGATCAAGAATAATTATATTTTGAATGACTACATTCCATACCATACATCTAAGCATCTGTTTCTCATCTGTGATGTATTATGAACTGCAATTTATCCACTTGCAATTGAACTGGTACTTGCTTGCCAACTCACTGGTCCTGTTCTTTCCATTTAGGTTTTGATAACTTTGTACTGGCTGGGAAGAAAAGCACAAAATAGTCCCTATTATCATGGTCCCTATCTCAATTTGAAAGCTTTTGAGACCCTTTTAGGACAAGCTTTGACTAAGGTAAGGGCACAACCAACATCTGTATGAAATGACTACTGATTCTTTTATCATACTCTTCCCTTCCGCTTCTCCTCCTCTGCAGCAAACATGGCGGCGAGCTTGTCTGTCCTCTCTAGACAGACAGGCCTGTGTAGGCAGGGTAGTTACTTGTTTTCTAGCTTTACGTGTTTCTTCCGGGGAGTAGGCTATTCCAGGCCAGTTCCAAGGTATAGAATTTTATGTCCTTAATTTTAGGTAATTTGATGGCACACACATTCTTTTTTTATATACTATATAACTTAACTGTTTCTATACTCATTATGAACTCAACCTGCAGTAAAAAGGCATTTCTAGGGCTGTTAACATTTATAGGAGTTACTCGATTTCTTTATATTAATTTGTTTCTTGCGGTGGGTAATTATCTCTAGTGACTACATTCTAATATCACCAGGGTGCTAGTGTTTTGTGAAGAGTGATAAATGTTACAGTGAAACTTGACAGAGTTTTGCTTGTTTTAAGGCAGAGTCTCAAGCAATCTGGGTTATCCAACACTTTTGCTATATGGACAAGGATGACCTTGAGCTTCTGAGCTTCCTGCCTGACTGAGTTATGTCTGACTACTGAGGAAGTTAGATATTTGTGTGTGCATGTCTGTGTGTAGGAATACATGTGAGAGGGTGAGTGTGCTCGTGACCTTGGTGGCCAGAAGAGAGCATCTGATGCCTGGGAGCTCAAGGTACTGGAGTTGTGAGTTGCTTGATATGGGTGCTGGGAACTAAACTAGAGGAGCAAATACTCTGACCTGCTGAGCCCAGAATTTTGGATTTTACATGTGTTGCTGTTCCTTCACATTGTAACAGGCATTAGAACCTTGTAGACTATTTGTGAAGTACCAAGTGCTCAGAGCAAAATATACTGATTTTTCTGTAAAAAAAACAAAAACAAAACCTGTATTTATAGGGCCCTAGCGGAAAAATTAATTTCTCTGTGGAACTATTCATCCAGGGTACTTTATAAGAATTGAGAGAAAATAGATGCTCAAAATGATAAAATGCCATCTACGTAGTCGTGCTTGCTTTGTGAGATTTCCCTGATGAGAGTGAACAAGAAAAATATTTAGTGTTTGTTCCTGACACATTGTGAGGATAAATTGTAAGAAATTGATAGCCCTTTAGGTCTGTGGAGAAAGCTCAGTTGGTTAAATGCTCTCACCCATTCAAGGGTGAGAATGAGTCCGCTCCCTCAAATTCATGCAATAATGTGGAGTGTGGTGACAGGCATATGTTATCCCAGCTCTGAGGAGGCTAAGACAGGATTCCAGGGCCCTGGCCAGCCAGTATAGCTTGCTGGGCAAACTGCTGACTAACAAGTATCCTGTTTTGGTCTCAAGAACCATAAACCAACCAACCAAACACAAAGTGGATGTCTCTTGAAAAACAACACTGGAGATTGGGCTCTGGCCTCTGCACGCATATCCCTGCATGCGTTTGAACATTGGCACACATATGTGCACCCACACCTGTGTGGTGCATGTGTACATGAACACTCAGAAGACAGTTCTGTACTCACACTTTTTGCATGAGTTAACTGAGTTAGTAGCTAACTCACTATAACTAATAGTGAGCTATTGCCACTTACACATATTGTGCTAGAAATTGGAGAATGATTCATCCACCAGAGAGCATAATCGTCACATCAGTCCTTGCTGTGAGGGTGAGGCTCTGGTGGGGTTATTGCAAGGAGTTTTGGGTACGAGGGAAACCTGGCTTTGCAGTTGTCTGACCTAAGGAGCTATGCAGTCAGAAGGTACAAGGGACATGGCTTGGTGGACTAGTGTTCTTTATAGCCTTCCTAACTTTTTATGGCAATGACTCAGGATGAGTAATTTCAGTGCAGTGTGTGCAAGGAATGCCTCTTTAAAGGATGTTCGCACTCACCGATGTCAGAGTCAGTGTGGTCAGGAGACTTTTTTTTTTTAGATAAGACTGTGGTTGTGGTCCTATTATTCCATTACCTGGTGGGAACAGACATGAGAGGCATGTAAATCTATCATTTGTTTTGTATCAGTTCTTTTAAAATGTAAGGCATTATGTCGACTTTACTTACCCAGTTCCCTGGCAATACCAACCGGAAATAGCAATGAAACCATGCTCACTGGAAGCTGTTGTATTTGACTCAGATTGTAATTTGCAAATGACTCACTTTGGGGGACTTGTCAGGGTAAAGTCCTCACGGTGCAGGGCCAGACCTGGGTTATTTATAACGGGTCACATAGTGGCTAGTCAGTCACTTTAACATAAGATCAGAAGTCATATTGTGTTAACACTGAGGTTTCAAAAAGTATGGAAGTCTGTGTTTGAAAAGCCTAAGTCTGGTGCATCCAAAGCCTGACTTTAAAATGTCAGTCTCATATCTTGGGACATAGACTGTTGGCACTAAGCTCGCAAAGGGCAGACGAAAGGTAGATCCTGGTCATGTTCATGTCAGGCCACCAAGGTTAACGGCAGCATGAAATCTCTTTACTGGCCATACTTGGCATTTCAAACAGGCATCAGACAATTAACTCAGGGATTGAAGGATCTGATTTAGGCAGAAGTCTGCTTGAAACAGCTGCTAGTTATTTGTTCCAAGCACTTGCCAGCTTTTCTTCACGTGTTGAAAGTCTTATGATAAATGTGAAGACAATAATAACACTTGCAAACCTCACATCATCCTTATCTGACACGGTGTTTCCATTGGCTGTTTCTAATAGCGTCTGCTCACCTTTCTGTCTTTACTTAACCATTTGTAGATTAATTCAGATAACACACCTCACTCTTATATTCTCAGAGTCCATCTCTTAAAAGTAAAAATTTTTCTTTATAGCTTTTATATATACATTAAAAAGATCATCAATATTTTTTGTCATTTAATATTGAATCTTTTTCCTCATGGCCTCTAAAATATTTTTTAAAAGTTAAATCATGATTTAATCAATGTTTGTATAGTGGTGATTAGTTAAACTGCTTTGTGCTCCTGGCAGGTCGGGCTCCGAGCCACCTGCCAGAGCCCTCTGGATTCATGACTGAAAGATACACCCCCCCACACACACACACACCTCTGTTAATTTTAATATGCCTTGACTAGCTCAAAGACTGAGCCGTTCTTATCCTTCCTGATGCTGGCAAATATTCCCCTCTGGTTCTTCTGAGTTAATATATTTTAAAAATCTATATTTCATTTCTGCTACCCCAAACACAATTGGAGAAGTGGCCTGTGTGGCCACTTTTCCTAATTTTCACGTCAGTTATGTCTGGTCTTTCTTCTTCTCCATCATGGCCATCTCTGCTCAATTCCTCTTTCCTGGTTCCTTGCCTTTGGAAATCCAAAGGTCCTGCCTCATTCTACCCCCTCACCCCCAACCATTGGCTGTTGGCTCTTTATTTATTGATTAAAGACCAATTGGAGACAAGGCCCTTCATTGGTTGGACAGGCAGATTCCTGATTTGGGGGGCTTGATTAATTCAAAGCATTAGAACCAATCCCCAACAAATTTGTTATATCTAGTATATTATTCTTATATTCTTTAACTTGCCATCTGAGAATAAACTTGTTGACTTTTATTGTGTCCTAATTTTTTTTTTGTTTTTGTTTTTTCAAGACTGGGTTTCTCTGTATAGCCTTGGCTGTCCTAGAACTCACTCTGTAGACCAGGCTGGCCTCGAACTCAGAAATCCACCTGCCTCTGCCTCCCAAGTACTAGGATTACAGGCATGCGCCCCCACTGCCCAGCTTGTGTCCTAATTTTTAAAGGACCAGTTAGGTTCTGACATTAAGGTTTAGAGGTGTGTTAATTAGGATGGCTTATTTTTGGAAAGTTCTACATAAGTTATAAACCTAAAGGTAATATCTTTTGTCCTATTTCTATGTATCTCTTATTCATAAAAAAGCCAAACAACTATTTTATTTCTGTCCAAGGAATTTCAGTCTTATACTCCATCAAGCATATATCCTAACTTTGGCTAAATAAGAAAAGAGGCCTGGCACATCTCATGTGACTGGCTCTATCCCAGAATCTTCTCTGCCTCCCAGATATCCCAACTCTATTTCCTGCCTAAGCCATAGGCCATAGGCTTTTAATCGATAGGCGATTCATCCATACAATACACAGATATTCTCTCTATAATTCCTCTTTTTAGTCCAATAAAAGGCTCTTTTTCTTTTAAATATAAACTGAATGGAATTATGACAATTTTGAAAACTATAAGGTATGATATACATTTATAATGTCCAGTTCACACTATTTGGCAATTAAAGAAAATTTTTTAATACCAAAAAAAAAGAGGCCTGGTTGCCAGCATCTTGAATAATAATAATAATAATAAATAGTAGTAGTAATAGTAATAGAATAGAATAATAGAATTTATGTTTTTTTTGAGGGTTGATGGGGTTACAAAATACCATTCTGGTCTTATGTTTAATATAAACCATTCCAGATTTTTCCTGGAGAACAAGACTTCTTAAAGATTTGCCTACCTTTGGGGTATAAACATTAAGATATTTTCATTGATTTCTTTTATCTCCCCCCTCTCTCTCTCTCTCTGCCATTCCATTCCTCTCCCCCCTCCCGCCATTGTACAGTTTGTGGAGAAGAAAAAGTACTTTTAACCAGTTTTGTTTTCTTCTTCTTGTGTTGAGCAGGAAAACCCTGTCCATTCACCTCTCTAGTTAATCAGAGCTTCTGTATCTCTGCAAGTTCATGTTCACTCTCTGATCTGTGTACAATGTTTCCTTCAGGCACTTGAAGATTCTAGCTGCCTGAAAAGAAGTGGCCGGGACAGTGGCTACGGGGACATCTGGTGTCCTGACAGAGGAGAATTTCCTGCCCCTCCAGGTAGCCACAGGAGGGAAGATTCCTTTGAAAGCTTGGACTCCTTGGGGTCTAGATCACTGACCAGCTGCTCCTCAGACCTCACTCTTAGAGGTGGGAACGAAGGTGAGTGGGTGCTGTATCTTGGGCTGTACGTTTATTTTATTTCTTTGTATATGAAGAGGAAGAGGGGAGAAAGTAGAGATTGAAAATTATCTGAAGATTTTTCACTGGGATGTGGACTTTCATAACGCTGTGTTCTTAGGTATTTTGTTGTTGTTTCTTTTGTATTTGGATGGAACCACTGAGGAGATTTTCCCTGGCTCACTGGGACTGGATTTTGTCAGTGCGACTTAACAACAGGTACCTAATAAGACCTGTTATCTCAAATATCTAAACACAATGCATTAAGAGTCTGTAAGATGTCTGTTTTACTTTCAGAGTAGTTTCCTTTCCTGACTGAATTTTACCAGAAATACTTAAGAAACACTAAAGAGGTAAAATATTTCAATAGTTCTCTCTAAGCTTTGATTGACAGGAAGGTGAACATCTTCCAACTGTGCTCCATGCTAATCCAGGACAGAGTGAGGGGATGAGTTACTCTAAGTCCTGTTGTGGGAAGGAAATGTCATTCGAGTTTGGAACCTTGGGGTGAAACCCTTCCCTGAAATTCATGTCTTCAAGGCTTAGAAGATGGCTCAGTGGTTAGAGCTACTCACTGCTGCTAAGCCTGAGTTCTGTCTCTGGGATCCACAGAGTGGATGGAGGGGAAAAAAAAATCAATTCCTGCAAGCTGTCCTCTTCCTTCTACATGTGCATCATGGCAAGAATGAGCACACATATATTCACACAGAATCAGTAATGATTAGTAAATTTTTATAAGAAGAAATGCCCGCCTCCCCTCTTCACATTGTAGAGAATTGTAAAAAAAGAAAACAAAACAAAACATGTCTTATTCCTATGGCTATTAGGTAGTATTAACAGTTTCAGACTAAATATCTAGGTAGTCTGAGTTCAGTCTGTCTGAATGGAAACCAGAGATAACAGTTCTTCAAATACTGAGGCTTTCAGTCAGTGATAGAGCAGGTGGTCAGGAGACTGCAGTTTAGACTCCAGCACTTCCAAGACCAAGTCTTTCCTTTTAATGACATCTGTGCTTCAAGCATCATCAGTGTCAGAAAGGAAATGGGGGTTCTGATTGTGAACTTGTGCTCCGTCTTTGAAGATTTTCAGTTTGTCTATTATAGATATAAGTATTTGACCCAAGACCTCTATTATGCAAAATTTCAAACATCACAAATAATATGCTGCTTTTCTAAAAGTTAGTGAGGCATAACAAAAGTAAATCCTTTTTAGAATAGTGATAGGATCAAAAACGTGAATGGCTTAGTGTTAACCTTTGTTACCGTCACCGTCCTTACCGAGGTGTGGCTCTTAAGAGTTCAGACGAAGATGATCATGATGATAAGGAAGTCAATCTAAGTTTATAATTCATCGGAATAATCACAGTTGTAAACGGAGACTGAAAAATCTCAACCTGCTGTGTTCCTTGGTCCTGACTGAGGAACCTATGGAATGCTTTGTTTGGATTTATATCTACTTGTCAAAGTATAACAGAGGTTACAAGAAAGGTTGTGGGTTTGTGGCAAGTGTGGGTTTCTCATCAAAACATCCGGACATTGTGGTGTAAGGTCCTAGCATCCTTTAGATGTGGTCTATCCCAGGTGTGTGTGAAGCAGAGGGGCCCCACAGTCACAGTGCAAGGGAGCCTTGTTTAAGGACTGGACAGGTAGGCAATTATAAGTAGGGTAGGAGGAGGGAGCTGGGCTCCAGGAGGATGAAGATTTTCTGTGATTACTGTATTAAAATTCTGCTACCCACACAATGATAGTGGGTGGTAACCACACTTAGGATAATATTTTTAGGATTAGAAAACTGTACATTTAATGAGTTTTAGATGAAAACATATCAGGAGTGGTATTTGTATATAGGCTAAAAAAAATAATATTTTTAAGTATAAACCTTCAAAAAGCAAATGGTCTTTGAGTTCCAAATTTCATGAGTAGGTTTTTGGAAGGAAAGCACCTTTTTTTTTTAAAGTTCTAAACAAACAAACAAACAAACACAAAGAGGGAAAACTAGCTTAATGACTCTGGTTGTCCTGGCTGTGGCCACCTCGCCTTTCTGCCCAGACTCCCCTTTCACTGCTTCTTGTGACACAGCTGTGTCAGACCACTTCCTTTGAACCACATTGGCATTGTTTGCGGTTCATTCCTGCCTGGTAGGTTTAGGTCAAGTTAACCTGGCAGGTGTGTGGAAAGCCAGTCACCGGGAGGGGAGATACCTTCTGCAGCTGGGAGGAAGCTTGCAACAGTTACCATCTACCATGTTTTACAAATGCACAGGAGGCGGGAACAGAGGACCGGAAGGAGGTCGCTCCAGTTGACCTGTAGTTACTCTCTCTATTCTTACTGTGTTTTAAAACGAGCTGGTTTCTCCCTTCTTCCAATTAGAGAATATATTATTAATTGTTTCTGTCTAGCCTTGGGATCTATCACAAATATTTTTCCCCTCTTCCTTCACCCTCCTCCCTTCCTTCCTTCTATTCTTTTCCTCCCTTCCCTCCTCCCCCTCCCTCCCTTCCATCACCCCCTCCCTCCCTTCCATCTCCCCCTCCTCTTCCTCCCACCTTCTGTTAAACCTGCTTTTAAGTACATTTTTAACCACACTTCCTGGTTTCCATTACAGCTTCTGTCTTATCAGGGAAGCTTTAGTTCTGTGCTCTCCTGTAGGCATAAGACATAATTTGTTAGGACTTCAGATGCCATCCAGCCTGTCTTCTCTGGTGTAGGATCCATGACCCTATGAGTGGCCTTACTGGGGTCTGTCTATCATCATTGAATCTTGCTCAGTCTTCTTTTGATTTCTATGCTTGCCTGTCACTTCCTGGAAATCTGATGGCTTCTTGTCTTTTGTTAAATTACTGAGTTCCTGGAGACTTGCGCTATCTCACTAGATTTTTATCAGGTGATGTACCTCAGTAAATTTATGAAGCATTGTGGTGGCAAAGTAGGTTGGAAAGAGAAAGGACTGTCCAGGGGTTTGGGGATTTATTGCTTATCATGACCGCAGAAGAATGCACTACGCATGTCTCCAGTAGGAAGGCAAGTCCCTCCTCATGGGTCTTATCACAACTTCTTGACAAAGTTCTAAAAATACTCATGCCTTTCAGCAGCAGCCCTGGGTTTCCAAGGGAGAGGAGAATATGCTGGGAGAAGGGGGTTCAGCAGGAGAGCCCTGGAGAGTAAAGTACATTGTTGTTCCTTTATAGGTTGCGAAAGTGACATCGATTGGGAATTTACATTCAAAATGCAGGATTATAACAAAGACGATATGTCCTACCGAAGGATTTCAGCCATTGAACCGAAGTCGGCTCTACCGTTCAATCGTTTCTTGCCTAACAAAAGTAAGCAGCCGTCCTATGTGCCAGCACCTTTGCGGAAGAAGAGGCCAGACAAAAACGAGGATAACAGAAGAAGCTGGGCAAACCCTGTCTACACAGAGACAGATGGAACATTTTCAAGGTACAGTCATGTGATGTGGTTGTGGAGTGCTTTCTGAATTTGTGGAACTGTTTAATGAGGCTTAACGAGGTTAACGGAATAGCTATTAAAGTGTAGTTACCACATACCACTAATGGGAATATCTGTTTTTACCTCTGTTTTAAGTCCTATGCTGAAGACAGTTATTGTGTTTCAGGACGCCAGCATCCGATGACCAGGGCTTGTTTTAGATACATGCCCTCAGTTTATTGGTGTGTTTCAGCTCACTGGGTCACCGATGTGGTCCAACGTGAGCTGCCATGTTCCTTCCATTGTCTTTCTTCCTTGTTCATGAAAAGAAACACTTACTGTCCCATCAACTTAGCAGGGCAAAGGACGATTTTACAAATCCAACACCCCGTACGGAGCCGCCTGGTTCTGAAAGTGGTTCTGGCACTCATGGCGGGTGAAGATTGCCTGGTGTGCTTTTGGATGACTTAGCCAACCACAGATACCGTGTGGAAAAGAGACCTGAGGGTTTCATCTCACAATCTACCTCTGTCAACTCTTGTCTTTAAGTATTTTCTCCTGACATGCTAACTTCTGGGCTACATACACTAACAAGGTCAGAAATATATTTATCCTGGATCTGGGTATCTTTCATGCTGCTGATTGAATTTTTTTTAAAAAAGAAATACCTAATCTGCTTGGAATTTGTCTTTCTCTTAATGCAGCTCTGTGTACCTAGCTTTCCTCTAGCTAAAGTGAGGTGATGTTGTAATGTCTGACTTTGGTCCTAGGAGCTGTGATATTGAGACACGGAGTTAATGTACAGCATTCACAGGGGTGCAAGCATTGTGAGTTAGAATGCATGCCTTTCGGGTTCTTTGACACAAACTGTTCACACAGTGTCTTAACTTGGTTGGATATTTTGAACAGTACCCAGAGGAGAACCTGGGGCCCCAAGATGGAGAACTGGCACTCAGTCCAAGAAACTTCCATCTCCTCTTGGTGTTTAGAAGAGGAAGAAGAAAGGATCACGCGCATGCCCAATGTTGTGAAGGATGATCTCTATGTGCGGAAGCTTAGCCCAGTCATGCCAAGCCCAGGGAGTTCTTCTGATCAGTTCCTTCCCAAATGCTGGACCCCAGAAGATATGAACTGGAAAAAAATAAAAAGAGAGACTTATAAGCCATGGTATAAGGAATTTCAGGGATTCAGGTTTGTCTTTGTGCATGCTCCTGGTACCCAGTGTTTGTTCTCTACCCGAGTCTGGTGGAGTCTACGTCTTGTGTTTTAAATTAGGGAGTGAGAAAGGTTTATTTACCCTCTAATATCTGTAGAACTTTGATACTTAAAGAAAAATGTTTAAATTTAATCCTTGGACTATACATCGGGGCATATGCCTAGAATCTTAGCACTCTGGAGGCTGAGACAGGAGGATTACAAGTTTTAAAAAAGCCTAGGCTTCAAAATGAGGCCCCATCTCTAAAAACAAAACAAAACAAAAAACTTTTTGACCTACTTGTAAGCTCCCTTCGACCCCTGGGGGCACTTTTTTTTCTTATAATAACGTGCCTGTGACCTGTGTTTCTATTATTAAATCACAACAACAGCAGCACCATAAAATACTTCAGATTCTAGACTTTAAAAGGCCCCCTTTTACTTCTATCTCAACATTTATTTCAAAGCTTACATTCTTCTCTGTTTCTTTGTCTGTCCTCCCCCCCCAACCCCCACCTCCTTTCTCCTTGTCACTTCCTGGCAGGAGGAATTCTGACTCTGAGGATGAGGACTCAGGCTCTTTCAGAAGCTCTACCATTTTTAGTAGATTAGAAAAGGCAGAACATAGGTTAGCCAGCAACTACCAAAGACCTTCACTCTTGCTGGAGCTAGCTACCAAACATGCTATGAGGTCACGGGACACCCATGCAGCCAGGAGGACCAGCAGTGCTTTGGAGGAATCCAGGTGCACCTGTCTGCATGAGCTACCTGCTTGTGGCTGACCAGGGACACCTTCTTGACTGCTTCTGCTGCTACATTAACCTAGGCCCTGAATACTGACTCACGGGAATGCAATGACACAGGGTAAAGGCACAGTGTGTAACATAATGCCTTCTGCATGAGGCTGTTAACACAACATCTATAGAAATCAACTTTCTTTAACTACAACAAGGTACCCGATGGTTAATATGCAAGAATTCTTTTGAGAAAACTATTCCAAAAATGCTTTTTAAAATATTATCTAAATTTACTGTTGTGCCGTATATATTTCCACAGAGAAAGGAAATATTTTTAGGTAGACACTGGGAAGGGCAAGTCTGGCGAAAACAAACCAACACCCACCTGGGGTCTTTTATAAGACTGTAGACCAGTTTGTTATTTCTACTTACTGTGGTGTGCACTATGGCATACAGCATACGATGGCCAATTCTTGGCAATATCTAGGATCACACATCCCCTAGGGAGGAGATGAGGCCACTGTGGATAACCGGGGAGGCTAGACCTGATCTGAGTGTAGGTCAATCACTTGACCTTCATAGTATTCACTTTTCCTGAGAAGTATAGCCTGGTGTTTGTTTAGTGACACCCCAGAAAAGTCAGAGAATAGTTTTGAGTATTCATCTTGGTTGTGATACTCCCTTCCATCGCTCCTAAAATAATTCTGCCCCGATAAATACTGGTTGGTCTGCTGCCTGATTAACTATCTCCCCATGCTTACTGTGACTCTCCCTCCCTTTTTTTCTCTTCTGTGCATCAGTCAGTTTTTATTGCTTCAGGCCCTCCAAACCTACTCTGATGACATCTTGTCCTCGGAAACAAATGTCAAACTCGATCCTACCTCTGGGCCAAGGCTCATAACTCGCAGGAAGAATCTCTCTCCCGCACCAGGCTATCGCGCCCATGACCTTGAGCTGCCAGCCCTGGATCCTGACTTAGAAAATGACGATTTCTTTGTCAGAAAAACCGGGGCCTTCCATGCAAATCCGTGTGTGCTTCGAGCCTTTGAAGACTTTAGAAGGTTCTCTGAGCCGGGCGATACTGTGGAACGAGATATAATTTTGCAGTGTCGGGAAGGTGAACTCGTCCTTCCAGATTTAGAAAAGGATGATATGATTGTTCGTCGGATCCCAGCCCAGAAGAAAGAAGTGCCCCTTTCTGGGGCCCCAGATAGATACCAGCCGGTCCCTTTCCCTGAACCCTGGACCCTACCTCCGGAAATCCAAGCAAAATTTCTCTCTGTGCTCGAAAGGACATGCCCACCCAAAGAAAAAAGCACTAGCTGTAGAGTGTTAGTACCTTCCTATCGACAGAAGAAAGACGACATGTTGACTCGCAAGATCCAGTCTTGGAAGCTGGGGACTGCTGTGCCTCCCATCAGTTTCAAACCTGGCCCCTGCAGCGATGCTGACCTACAGAAGTGGGAGGCCATCCGGGAGGCCAGCAGGCTTAGGCACAGGAAGCGGCTGATGGTTGAGAGGTCAGAGTGTGTTTCTGCAAGGATTTGGCTTGTGATGGATGCTCTTGTGTAACTTTCCTTGAAAAAAAAAAGCCGCATCCGTTTTCAGCTCTGCATGTTGTGTGCCGTTTTGAAGCATCCTGTTTAAAAAAAAATTATTTGGCTTTGAAAAACTCTTAGTCAGTTCATGGAAGAAGTACAATTTCATATTTACACGTCTTAGGATGATTTGAGAAGGTATATGCAAAGCTTGCCTCTGGCTTGAAAGCATCCATTAGTATATTCCAATGTGAAGTTGGATAAAAATATTTTCATATTGTGTCTACAGGTTTTTTTTATCATCATGTCTAGCACTTTTGTGGTAGTCTAGCTGTGGTTTGGTTTTATGTGTTTATCGTATTTCGCAGTGTCTTTTTTATTGAGCTAAATATATTAAATATGTGATTGTAGATTTCATTTAACTCGATTTTTGTTGTCAGTCTAGGTTTTGTGAGCTATCAGTTTGTAGCATTTTTATTTGTAAAATTCAGTGCAAATCCCATTACGATGCATGAGTTGTGGCCATTTTGGTAAAAGGAGCCATGCAACTTCCTGGTAGCTGTTCAGTTCACTGTAAGTGGGGAAAGGGCAAATTTGACCAGGCTGGATACAGTGAATGGCCCTAAATCTAACTTGGTTCCTGGCAAGCGCAGGCCTTTTCTTATGAACTTGTTGGCTCAGAGTAAATTTAGAAAATGTTGATATTATTTGACCTCAGATCATTGACATAGGAGACCGACTAAAAGTTGATATTTAAGAAGTGGCTAAGGGCAGCCTGTTCAGATTTGCCTATTTCCAGTTAGACTCGTGTTAAAGACATTGAACGCTTAGAAGCTAACACAGCGGGAGAGAATGACCCTTTTTAATGTTTGGTTTTTTGGTTTCTCAGACTCTTTCAAAAGATTTATGGTGAGAATGGGTAAGTTTTCTGGTTCCCATTAAAAATAAATCTACATATCTGTTTGTCGCCTCTGTCACTCACTGCACCTCTGTCCTGGCATGTTACTAATGGGTGCTGTGTGCAGTGCATGGGACTTTTGTTTACTTTTTATTAACCTTGCAACCCCATAGCAATATTTTTGTATCTAAATGTCCAGTGCATGAACTGTTGAACAAAGCAGTAGGGTTTTTTTTTTCTGTATTAAAATTTAACTCCACCCTCTTTTTCTTTTCTTACCTTAGTGACTGAAAGTAACAAAAGCATCAGACAAAGACTATGTTCGTTTTGGTATTTAATTCCTACAATACACTAAGCTTCTGGTTTCTAGTTGTTGAAGGGTTTCCCCACAGATTACATCTAGAAAGCCTGTGATAGGAAAAGATATTACTGCTTGCTTAATGGGAGAATTCATATAGCTGGCGAAACTCACATACTTACTGAAGCTCATGTGAAGATTTATTAGTGGGGATGATTAATAGTTTTAGGAAATATTTTTAAGATTCTTGATTGCGGTAGAAATTTAATTGTAACATGGCTGCCTCTAAAGAGAAAACTAGACTTCCAGAATTGTCAAAAATAATCTTGGTTGTTTTTAATATTGTTGCAAGAAGTATATTTAAATTATTTCGCAGGTTTGGTCTTACTGGCAATTTATCCCTTCAGCGGATAAACATGTCAATGTAATATCAAGCTGAGTTTCTCACACGTTTCCCCAGTTCTAGACTATTTTAAACTGTTATTCATTCCCAATGCAGTATCACCTGGCTTTCTGTAACTGAACTCAATCGGTCATAGTGTTTGAGGAAGAGAGGTGAAGAACACCCAGTATTTTAATCAGTCTTGGGAATTGAGTATTGTTCCCTTATCATGGTTTGCCTCATCTCTCTGACTCTAATTTTAAGAGTATTTAATAATGTTAATAGTTTAGAAATTTTAGAAACTACCAAGATTGTCACAACATCCACTGTAAGAACTCTAGATACCGAGACACGACTGAGGGATAGGTAGCTATTACCATTACTCCTTCTGGTGTGCATTTGAGGGGGAAGAAATTAGTCTTTGGCATAACACTTCAGAATCTGTTCATCAGTTCATCGGATCAGGAAAGCTGTTTTACCTTGATTTAAAATTCCCTTGAAGCTTCAATCATTGTGACTAACTTTCATGAGGAATTTTCATTTGTAATCACATTTGGCTTTGAAGCATAAACACATCTCTGAAGCAGTTTTCCTAAAGGGAAAATCAAGTACCAAGAGTGTAAATGCTTGGAGGTATGTAAGCCCATAGCTACCTCTGACTTGACCCTACCCATTTTTTCTTAGTGTATGCATTGTGGTGTGACTTGAATGACCCAGGGCAAGACTGGGTTCCATGGTAGAATTCATGTCTAGCTCGCCTGTGGCTGTAGGTTCAGTGCCCAGCACTGTGCACCCACCCTTACCACAGACACTCATAAAGAAAACTTAAATATTCAGCCTCAAAGTACTGAGGATCTTTGTCTGAACGTTAGCAGTCGCAGCATGCGCTTCCAGTTGGCAATTCCAAGCAGTCTCATTGGTCCTCAGTGTTTGCTTGAAAAGGCTATTTAAAAAAAATCCTCCTGTGGTGGAATGCTAAGGTAACTTCACAAATACAGAAAGATAATCTGTTAATTGAGACTAATGAATAATACATGACTTGTCAGATAATGGGGCCTCATGTGTCTTAGAAAATGCAGCTCTATTCAGAAGCAGCTGTACGTTTATTTAGTTCCTCCCTTTTTCTCCTATGAATTTTTTTTCAAGTTACCAGTGATTTCCTTACATTGATTTCTTGCAATGAGAGTAAAATATGAGTTAAAATTGAGTTACCTGTAGGAGTTTAATGTACACTCCATTTCACATTTATGCTGCGTGAACTATCTCCAAACATAATATAGTGGAAAAATTTGGTACTTTGTACTTAAAAACTGCCTATTATATGAATGCTTTATTTGTGCTACAGATCAGTTTGAAGAGGAACGTGTAGGATTATTTTTCTTTTTTTTAATCCTTTGCCTATTAAACCCCAGCTTGCAATTTGTGCAGTTCTGGGCGCTTGTGCATGCTGTGTAAGTGTTTTACTAAGCTTTGGTTGGCATGCAATTCATTATGTTTTTTAAGATGCTTTGTGTGTGACTGTCAGTTCTCATGTGTGTCTTTGTGTTGCATGAATTTACATTTGTTTGCTTTTATGAAGTTTGGGATCTGGTCATACATGTTAAAACTATGTATAAACAATCTGTTAATGTAATAACCACCAAATCAGCTATTAGTATCACAAGAAAATAAAAGAAAATACATACCAGTTACGTGTGAATTGACATCAAAGACAACTAAGGCAGCTATAGTTGTCTTATAGAGCTTGGTCAAATGACTTTGTAGGATTATCAGGTTACAATACTCAGGACATACAATCAAGGTGGACCAAAGAGACGGAGACAAGTTGAGCTGGGCTATTTTCTCAGAATTTTCTTTTCCATCTAGTTATATCTAGAAATACTCCTCATATTACAGCCAAGTGTGTGTACTATTTACATTTAGTACTTTGTAAATGCCTTCCCCAGGCGAGCCCTCTACAGGAAATGATTTTCTGAAATGTCAATAGTGTTGGTGTTTCCCAAATAAGTCGATAAATCTATAAATGAAAATTCCTTCTTATGTTCTTTTATTCTACTTGATAGTAGTTTCAAAGTATCCCACAAAGATTTGAAGACTGGTTATTCATCACAAAATTCTATAGCGTCTAATGAAAATATATGTTTGGATAGGTAAATTAGCATATTTATATTGCTTTCAAAGCTAGAGACCCTTAACTTTCTCTTTTTGAATTTCTGTGAAGGCTGTGAGTAAATTCACATTTAGGAAAAAGCATCTGATATTGGCTCTTTGGACTCTCTGTTCTATGGACATCCATCTGTAAGTTTACTGAAGTTGGAATTTAGGATAACCCTTATTTCCAGCAGAACGTGCCAGAGGCAAAATCTGTAATCAGAGGAGTACCAGGAAATTATATCTTTGAGATTTATAATGATTTCTTCTTAAACTTCTTCTTATCTTTTCCTAATACTATTAAATTAATTGGGAAGGCAAGACACTTGTTATACCTGGATTTGCAGGGGGTGAATACAAATGAAGACGTAAACTAGGGCCTTCTGAATAAGGAAGTCTGAGCCATTGGAGCAGGTAACTCTAAGAGAGCTACGTGACTCACCGGTGCGTGGTCCATGCTAGGCGTGTCCTCCGTGATTTCCCCGATGCTGTCTTCAGGGCTTATCTCAATTCTGGGAGGCAGACAGGGAGGTATTATCTGCATTCCATAGATGTGGAGAAAGAGACAGAGATTGCAGCTTTCCCAAGCGTGGAGGCTCTCAGGTAGTAGAACCGGACTGGGGCTGTGCCTCAGGAGAAAACTCAGAGAGACGGCTTGGCAGTGCTGGTGCCACTCAAGGATCTCGGGAGACTCTAATGTCATGTGGTTAATGCTGATAACGAAAGACTTCATCATCTTTGTACTCCAGAAGCTCTAGATTTTATCTCCGTGGTCTGGAGCAAACCTTTCTAATTTGAAGCAGTTTACAGAGTTAGTATCTACGAGGTTCCATCCAGTCAGAACCTGCTTTAATAAGAATTAGTCTATAGCACCAGATTTTAAAGACATGCACCGGCACAGCCTTACCCAGGTATCATAAATTAGTGGACAAGGAGCCAAGACTCCAAGAAGGATGTGTGGGTCAGTGGGTTGAAGCCTGTCTGGCAGCTGGTCTGGAGCCCTCTGGAGCCCTCCCTTCTTGTCTCTAGCTGGAGCTTATGGAGACTGTTACGGCCTGTGCTCTTGCTTTAATGGTGGTAACTTTATATACCCCAGGAAGAAACTGTGCTCACATCTGTGCCTATACAAAGACTCATCTACTCTGGCTCACTTTCAGCTCGCTTTGTTCATCTGTATGTGTCTGGGCTGCTAGACTCAGCTCAGTGCTCAGACACTCGGGGCAGAGAGGCAACCTTACCTTTGACTGGCACACTATGTGGGAAAGTGTATAGTAATTCTTCCCAGCCCAGGAGGAGGAGAATAAGAAAAAAGTCCATGGAAGGTTCTGGACTAGTACAGATGGTTCAACTTTCTACTCACAGAAAGGTTATTAGAGTATCAAATAGTGTTTTCTTTTTCTTTTATAGTTTATGCAGCTTCGTGTGTTGCATATCCAACACATGACTTGAACCTGTGAATTCCCTTTTTTCTTACTGAATATTTTTTGTTTCAATTCAAAGAGCCTCTTATCATGTAGGCATGGCTTCAGTGAGTTTATATATTCTCAAATTCACATGATTCAATTTGGTATGTAGTTATGCCTAATGAGAGGTATATTATAAAAAAGATATATATATATATATATATATATATATATATATATATATATATATAGTTTTTTATAATTATAGTCTATATGTAATTGATTCCCTACTAAATCTATATAGTACTATAAAACTTGGAGAACAGTTACGCTTTCCCATAGAATCAATTTGGATCTTTCGTGCTTATGTTCTGACTTATCTCATTCTTAGTACAGATACTGAGTATATCTGCGTGCATGGTGCTGTACTCATGTTTTCTTCCCAAGTAGCATGTGGCGTGTGAGAGAGACGATCTAGGCATGCTTGTGCGTACTATATAAGATGAAGCCAAGAGTTAGTAAACATGAGAAATACTATAGCTAAAGTACTAGAGCGGGTGAATGAAGGGCAGTTCGCTTTTCCCATGGAAGAACCACGAAGACTGTATTCAAGTGGTAGAACACCACCTAGATCGTCGACAGAATGTGTTTATGGGGGACGTGCTATGGACTGGACTTTGTTATAAGCTTAGTGATCTATCATCAAACAATCAGATGTGATGTCTGAAAATCTTACAGTATTCAGCAGGTCACAGGGAAGTAAGAACGTTTTAGATGCCAATAAATGCCCAAGGAAAAGAGGGCTGGGGTTAGGGTCAGCCCAGAGAGACAGACATTTGTAGGATGGAAAGAAGGAAACTCTGAATACCATTTAAGTGGTTACCTGGAAGTGAAGAGAAGTCACGAAGTCGGATGAGGAGTATTCTGGGCAGACTGAAGAACAAGGGGAGAAAGACACAAGAGGTGTGAACATGAGCAAGGCTTGGCAGGAGGACAGAGAGTCATGGGAAAAGGGCTTTTGAGTTGGAGGGAGCATTTGAGGGAAGCCTTCTCCGATGCTAATGTAAGCAGCTGGTTTGGAAATGCATGGGAGTGTTGTGCTCGACCTAGACTGCTGGCAGTCTAAATGGAAAGAAAGCCACATTAAATGAGAAGATAAGTAATTGAAAGTGAGGAGAAGAGAGGAACAAAAGTGAAAAGTGGTTCTTAGCTTTCAAATGTGGATGGCTGGGGTGCAGGTACCACCATTAACCATCACAGAGGAAAAGCAGATTGAGATCAGCTGTATCAGCAATAACAACGTGTTTGGTGAGGCCCGTTTCTTTCTTTCTTTTTTTTTTTTAAATCCTTTCCAGATAGCATTTCAGCAAGTCCCTATTCAAGCATAAGCACCTATTCACAAGTCCTTGGAAATGAGTCAAAGAGGGGCAGATCCCAGGCTGGAGCCTCCTCCAGGGGCATTTGCATAGTAGTTATAAGTACATTCCTGAACCAGCTAAAAGCAATTAAAAAAAAAATGTGATAGTAGATCTGGGAAGAATACAAAACCTAGGCACCCAAGGATATAATAATAGGAAAATATGGTTAATTACAATGTAATTAAGCTCAAAGTACAATAAAGAGGACTTCTACTAGCCTACCTTTAACGTTCTCTATCTCAGACTCTCACTGCTCTCAGGGCTGAGCTGGCCCCAGCCTTCCTGAGAGGTCTTTCTCATCTGTGCTGTCTGCACAGGGCTGGTAGTCACATCCCAACTCGGTTGCTAACTCACGTGAAGTCTCTTTACTGCTAGGGAGCAGCTTTATACTCTTTGAGAGGTCAATGTCTGTTAGAAGATCGTTGTTACAATGGTTTTTAAAATATGTAACAGTAATGGGGGAAACTGGTTTTGAAACCCTCCACTCTGGCTTTACTGCCTGATTGCACATATCTATTATACAGGGGCTACAAGTTAGGTTGTCTCATGAAGGACAGGGGTGGTTCTAACGGGCTGTGGGAACTACTCATGGTCTTCTGTGAATGGGACTAGCTGCACACTGGCACAGTAGGTCTTAGAGAATGCTTGAGAACATTGTTTCATGGTGTTGAACTTGAGGAGAAAATATCAGGTAGTCACTAAATTATTTAGCAAGGGCCCTAGTAAAACGAAAAAAAAAAAAAAAAACAACCAGCCAAACTTTTACTAGTAGTTATCTTTGAGGGATTATAGACAAATTCAGACAGGTGATGTTAATAATCGATACTTTTTTTCCCAAGATAATTTTAGAGTTGACTCCTCTAAATACAAGCACCGGATTATCACTTTTAGAACAGTTCAAGATTATTTTGACTACTTTGTGGAAGAGAAAAAAAGCATCCCACATCTGAATTGAACACCAGGCTCTTGTTTCTGTGCTTTGGAAAAACACCATTTATCGGTGTGGTGCTATTTCAGGGACACTATCACTAAAGCATCTGGGTAGGGCAGTAGATATTTAGGTGGAATTTCTAAATATAAGCCCAGTCTTCATGTGAACCCTCAGGCCAGCCTCAAGAACCTTTGTGACTGTGGGTGTTTCTGTGACAGGAGCAAGTCCCTGAGCGATGTCAGCGCGGAGGATGTTCAGAACCTGCGTCAGCTGCGCTACGAGGAGATGCAGAAAATAAAATCCCAGTTGAAAGAACAAGATCAGAAATGGCAGGATGTGAGTATTATACAATGGGGGAGGGGGGCGGCAGGGCGGGGCGCACTTCTTGCTTCTCTTAAAAGGAAGTCATTGTACTTAAGAAACAGTTTTCCTTACTATGATAGCATCCAGTACTATAGAAAATGAGACCAAAGTACTATCATATGTCTTCAAGACCATTGTAAAAAATAAAACATGTGCTTATCTTCTAAGAGACTGTGAGTTCTCAAAGAGTGTGAAGTTTCTTCCTAGCAAGAGAGTGAGCTGTTTGCTTGGGGGAGTGGCTGAGTTGGGGTATGACTGCTAATTATACCTCTGCTAGACAAAGAACATTGCTCAAGATTGAGATAGAAGAGGAACAGGATGTGTAGCTCAGATCTTGGCATTAGTGGAGAGAGATGGAGAGTTCTCAAAGTTACTAGGAGACCGGGATGGAATACAACTCAGAATAATATTTTGGCTGAAGTTGGAATCTAGTGAGATTCAAAATTAATCATTTCAATAGAGCTGGCATATACAAGTGTTTATATGGACGTAGACCTAACCTTTATCTTGAATCTTAAAGAAGAAAGTTTAACCCTTTCAGTTGGATAAAGCAGTTATTGTAAGTTGTAGGAGTAGAAAGAACTGTAATAGATAACCATATTCCCAAGCCCAAAGAAATTGGAGGCCTGCTTCATAGTAAGAAAGTTGAGTAACAGCATGAACAAAGCCACCAGAGAAAGTCAGCGCTAATGTACAGATGCACTACTTTGCTAAACTGTAGTGTCCTCTTATTTGAAAGTTGATTTAATGACCAGGAGACAGCACACAGGACTGGGGAGGGGGTGGCTTTATCTTAAGTCACTTGTCTCATTTGTGCTGCACTTGATGTCAATCCTTGCAAAACCCAGCACTCAACACCACCTTGCCAACTCACGCAGTGAGTTCTTGATAAAATAATTATCAAGGTGGGTGACACATGAGGGGAGGGCAGAGGAATATTTGGATCACTTTATTTCTTTTGGGAAAAGAGTCCATATTGGTTTCAGGTTATAGAAAAGCAGGAGAGGCCCTGGGTGCCCCCAAAGTTTAGTGGGTGGACTCGCTTTCCAATCCCTGTGTGTGTGTGTGTGTGTGTGTGTGTGGGAGGGGGGTGAGGTCAGATTTGGTCTGAGAACTTGGGTATCCTTCCCTTTGGACTGGAGTTTCTCTCGGAATCCTTAGTATGGTATTTCACTGATTTGGAAATGGAGAAATATTTGTTGCATTTCAAATGTCTCAATCTCTGAGTGTCACAACTGGCTTACGTAACTAGGGATAATTGAAAACCTGCATTAGGTACAGTGTCCTGGCTGCTTTTGAACATGCTTCTGGAAATGTGGGAAGCAAGTGTGGGCTTATGCCTACATGGTGTTCCATGTTGTTCCCTCCCAGGTCGACTTTATTCTCTGAACCTAATGGGTAGTCCAGCATAATCTGCGATTCTACTTTCTGTAGGGAGGACTGATTTTTTTTAATTTCCTTTAAGTTCCTCATTCTCCTTGGTAGAGACTTGGTCACACAAGGCATTGGTCTTTATGTATAGTCTACCTTGTTGAGGGAAACCACATCTTATGCATCTTTGTATTTCTGAGGACTGAGCTAGATGGGGTGTTCACTTGAGCTAGACTGTTCCAGGGATGTTTCTGTCCCTCCCATCACAGTAAATATGTGAATCAAGGGTTTACAGTGTTATCAAATTGAATTTGAAATATTTCCAGATCTAGCAGCTAATTGCAACCATTTAGCATTCCTTGAGAAATAGACATTGATATGATACTTTCTAGGATAACAAAAGTGGGATCCATCTTATTAGGTCAGGTTTTTCCGGCCGACACACGAGATAAAGGCTTAGTACAGAAACACTGGCTATAAAAAGCAAAATTAGGGCACCTTGGCACAAGTGGGAGTGAACGGTTTCAGCGTTGTAATGGGATACTCCAGCTCGCTCTTGCTGCAAGCAGAAGGGCGTGCAGAAATTCAGGTATGACCGGGCTGATGTGATTTCTTGTTCAGGACCTTGCAAAATGGAAAGATCGTCGGAAGAGTTACACTTCAGATCTGCAGAAGAAGAAGGAAGAGAGGGAAGAGATTGAAAAACAGGCGCTTGAGAAGTCTGACCGGAGCTCTAAGACATTTAGGGAAATGCTGCAGGACAGGTAACGAGCTGGACACCCCGTGTGTTTGGAGAGCCCTGTGCCAGGAATGTGATGTGATATGTGGTCACCAGTTCTAAACTGTAATCACATATGTACCATAGCAGCCAGAGTTTTGTTAAGTGTTAAAACAATATTGCTGAACTAGTGATCAGAGTTAACAAAAGAAAATAATACTTAGCGTTGGTGAGCAGTATTGTATGGTCTTCTGTAGAAGAAGGAGGTACTTTTAGTATTTGGAAAACAAAACAAAACACTAGATTTCTCTGTTTAAAGTGAGTTTAAAGATGGATAGTCAAGTAAAATAAACCTTTACCTTTAAATGAATTCTTTACCTTTAAATGAATACTAACAATTCCTTGTTGAATTGTAGTGGTAGATTTTTAAGGAAGTCTATGCAAGTGTGGACGTGTGGGTTTATTTATTCTCTGAGTAGTAATAGCAGGATAAAAGTGAAACTTAAACTTCCACGTGAGAACTTAACTGTGTGGACTCGGAGGAGATTGATAGATCAGAGAGAAAGCAAATATGCTTTAAAAATAATGTCGCAAACGGAATATGCTGGCAGGTGAAATTAAACAAAGCTCCTTTGTATTTGAAATGCCAGTGATGAAGAGCTTCATTCACTTAAGTACAGCAGTTAGCCCCGGGTCGGGGGGTGGGGGGGAGGTAGCAACTCCCTCCTAACTGCAAGATGAAGCTGGTTGTTCAGTTCTGTAAGTATGGATAATAACCTTGAATCTATTATAATCACCCATGGGGATTCTGTCAAGCTCCATGCACTGACTGGATATCTATAGAAGCTTGAGTCTTGTGCTATTATTTTTATCAATACATTATAAACTTTATGAAGCAAAACTTGGCAGAATCAGATTGGTTGTCGGCCACCTAAAGCATTTTGAAACACATAAATCTGTAGCTAAAAACCTGCGAATGATCAAGCGTTAAACCTTCCTTATTTCATTATTAAAACCTTTTATAATTAAAGATATCCATTTGAGACTCTCCTTAAGAAAAGGTCAGATCAGTTTCTTAGCTGACACTTAAAAAATATGTATAATCACGTTAGTGTTGCATTAATTTTTGTGTTCGCTTTTCATTTTAGTTATTATCTTAACCCATCTGGGGTCAAATGCATAGTTCTGTCATAATGGCACATTTCTTTTTGCTAAGGGAGTCCCAAAGTTCTACAATGACGTCTAGGAGGAGGATCTATTCCTCTGATGACATCCTGGATGATGGAGTGTTCCCTCCTTCAGTGACTCTGTCAGAAACTAGTTACCAGAGTGAGATACGAGAAGACAAGGCAAGAGCTCATCCTGCTGAGATGCTCAAAGAAGATGCCACAACGTTTGCAAACAGAGAGGAGGACAGTGAAGCAACTGAGATTCAGCTTGCTTCTCATATTCCTGAAGAGCTACGTCTGGCCCCTTTGCCTTCCGCAGAACCACACCAGGTCCCATTGCCTTCTGCAGAACCACACCAGGTCCCATTGCCTTCTGCAGAACCACACCAGGTCCCATTGCCTTCTGCAGAACCACGTCAGGCCTCTTTATCTTCTGCAGAATCACACCAGGCCCGGTTGCCTTCCGCAGAACCACAGCAGGTTCCATTGCCTTCAGCAGAACCACACCAGGCCCCATTGCCTTCTGCAGAACCACGCCAGGTCCCTTTGCCTTCTGCAGAACCATGGCAGGCCCCTTTACCTTCTACAGAACCACGGCAGGCCCCTTTGCCTTCTGCAGAACCACGGCAGGCCCCATTGCCTTCAGCAGAACCATGGCAGGCCCCTTTGCCTTCTGCAGAACCACGGCAGGCCTCTTTATCTTCTGCACCACAGCGTCCATCCTCACTCTATTCTCAGCAGTCATGGAGTACAAGAGAGTCAACTCGAATTTCAGCTTCTCTCCCTAGAAGTTACCAGAGAAGCGATACAGCCAGGTTAACATCTGTGGTCACAGCGAGACCTTTTGGCACATCATCAAGGGGAATCTCATCACTACCCAGATCCTACACGGTAAAAATGCCCCGGGTTCATTTAATCCATCCCCAAGCACAATGAGTCGGGGAGCTTGCAGAGGCTGAGCTGGACACAGATACTGGGTGTATAAAATGTAGATGACGTATGTAAACAACCTTCAGGACACTTTAGATCTAGTAAAAACAGATCTAACAGGGGCGGTTAGATTTTAAGGAACAGATAAGATACATTTTGAGGTAGAACATTTATTTTTTTTTTCTTGTCTTATTTTTTGCTTCTGAAGTATTAGGTTGAACATTATGAAGCTGTCAGCAGCCAGCTCTGTTTGGCCTACAATACTAAAGTTTTACATGGCTCATGTTAAATGTTCTCAGAGTTGTATATGTAAGGTTTTACCCTATCCTTCCTTCCTATCTTAGAACTTGATGACTGTGCATACTTCTTTTTTTTTTTCTTTTAAATGTGTCCATTTGTATCTCTAGCAGGGTTTGGCATGTGTGGGGCATGTTAGAATTATGTACATGAAAGAGTGTGGTCTGAATATTTCATGTTCACAATTCTGTTGGTTCTGGCTATCTGCACTTAAGATCTTAAAATCTTGTTATATAGATGAGAAGAATTATGGATTAAAATAATTAGTGTTTGGGGTGAAGAAAAACTGCCTAAATCAGTCAGGAAATCCCTGACCAGCCTACTAAGAAAAATATAAATCTATTTGATTAAACTCATATGGCAGGCACTATTAGCGTAGGACAGTTTGAGTCACTGTTATTATTAAAATGCATTGCAAATAAAGAGTTGACAACTCCAAGATGCAAGACATTTCTATAATTTGATAAGAAATAAACACTGGAAATAGATGTAGAAAAACAAGCTGGCCAATTCAATGCAAAGGAATTTAATGAAGCACCAAAAAGCATGTTTAATCTCGTGTTTAGTATGAGGACAAGGTAAACAATTTTTTCACTCATTGGACTTACAAATATTTTAAATGTTCAGACTATTTGGTGTTGAGGAGGCTGAAATGCAGGCATCTGTTTTCTTTGTAAGGATGACAGGCAAGTATTACATATATAAGACCTTTGATCCAGTGAGTTTTTGGAGCATCTGGGCTATAAAATAAAAACTCTATTTAAAAAGGCATGCTTCAGTCAGTTGCAGTGCTTTTGAGGAATGATGGATAGCTCGAAATTTAAGTAGATATCAAATGGATTGATATCCACACTCTGAGATTTCTGACAATTCAAAGAGCCAGTTTAGAGCTGTATCTTTTGACCCGCGGTGATGTGAACAAACAAAGCGACAAGTTTTAGAAATCTATACATAATAACGCTTTTATCAGAACAAGTGTTTCTGTGTGGGTGCATATGTGGTAGTGTGAAGGAACACACTCCGAGCCTCTGACAATAGTTACCTTGCTGTGGCAAATGTATGTCACTTAGTGGCTTTAAAATTTTAACGAGCCTGTTAGAAAAACTGACCCCAAGGCTAGCAGAATATTGAGTTTAAAATGATGTGTCCTATTTAGATGGATGATGGCTGGAAATACAACGGAGTTGCTGAAGTTGTCAAGAGAGAGCAACCTGATTTGGGCAGAGCCACTGGCCTGAAGCCTGACTCCAGCCACTTTACTTCAGTCTCATCCAGTGAGAAGGAGGTAGCCACAGGAGAAGATGTGGTGAGCTTGTCCTCTCCCACACTCCCTTCCTTGTCTGCCTCCCACAACCAGGCAGCCTCTTCCAAAACCACGTTCTCATCAATGTCTGGTCTGGATTCAGTGTCTGACTCTGGAGAAGGGAGAAGCTCACCACTGAGGGAAGTTTCCAGGTCCCTGGTAAGTTTAGGAGGGTTCTCAGCCACGTGGCTCAGATAGTTCAAGATTTCAAACAAGATCTGGAAACAGTTGTCTCAGCCTTTAGCTTTACAGTACAGGTTGCTCTTTATATTACACGAACATATAGTGTGGTCTATTTTTAACTGAGTGTGGGGGCAGTCGGTCCGTTCCAGCTCGCCCTTTGTAGATCCCAGACAAGCTTCATGAGCTGTGACTCTAGAGGTTTGGTAGAGCAGTCTCTGGCAGGTTTGCCTGAAGTTTTTATTATTCCACATTTCTCTAGCTTCTGCTGCAGACCATTAATGTATGTGTGAGTATGCAAAGCCCTTCTCTGTGGAAATCAACTTACTGCAAAGAGAAATTGTCCCATTTAGTGGATGCCTGTCTCTAGGGACACAGCATTCTGCTATCTCGTAAACTTTTTTGTGGCTTCTCATACTGATTTGTACTTCAGAATGGCCGCATTTGCTGGTGTTCCTGTCTCTCAGTGGGAACAGCGAGGTTCAGTTAGAGCTTGACACCTGTGATTCTGAACATTTGGACTCCACATAAAACATACCAGCAGATTACAAACGAATGGGAATGTTTGTAATTTTTCCTGTTTAAAACCCTGACAGATGGCTTTCAACAGAATTATTAGGTGATATATGTTTTCTTCAGTCTACATGTAAAACTTACAAAAAGTCTTTGTCAAGCAAACAAAGCTTCTACAAAATATGCACATGCACACACAACCCAAAACTTAACAATACTCATGTTAAGCAACTTACTATTTGTATAAACCCCTTCCCACGGAGGCATTTTTAATCTTTGGCTTGCTTGGTTCCTAAATCCTTGCAGTCTTAATGGAACATAGTTGTTTTCCAAGTCAAAAGATAGAATGTCACTTGAATATGTGAATAAAACGGAGTTATATGAACTAGTTTTACATAGCATATTTATCTAGGTTTATTAGATTAATTGTATAAGAAAATTTAAAAGATTTCAACCTCTCTCTCCTTGCCTCCAGGCTATGACACTTACTTCGTATCTGAGAAATATGAGGGATACAAGGAAATAAAATCCTTGATGAATATATTGTTCGGAAATAATCAGTGTTAGCACTTAAGTAACTTTTTGTTTTGTTTTTGTTTAGTGATAGGTGTTTTCTAGTTCTTGTTGTTTAGCTATTTTTCCTGTACATATTTACAAATATGTCTCTGAGACATTTTTTTCAGCTTGTAAAAATCATGTTATAAATTACAAATACATTTTTAAAGGAATTAGGAAATTATGGTCCTCATTATAGGTCTCAATGGATGAGAACAGTGCCTTTGTGAACTACACTTGGGGACTGAAAGGTATCAATAGGTGAATATAAAACCAGGGGCAAGGTATTTCTTGTCCTATGGATTTGTGCCTTCCCGCTTTCAAAGATCAAATGTAACAAAACAACTTGACCAATGTACTGCCCGCTAGATGCTGGGCCTACCTTCAAGATGGCAGCTGGCAAACTGTACCCGTGGATTAAAAAAAAAAGAGGCCACGTGTGCTATGTGGGTGGGTGTGTCCTCTGCTCCGGCAACTGCAAGAAGCCCAGATGAACCTGGCTCGTTCCAGGTTTTATCACAGTGGATTTATGCTGTCGTCATTAGGTTTGAAGCTGTGTTCTGCCGTGGAGGATTTAGCTGCATTTAATCATTGGAGCTAGTGAAATTCTTGAGCACTCTTTTATTTCACGTGGTGACTTGCTTGTCTCTATTTGGACTATCCATTTCTGTGCCATCAGGAAAGCATCTTACAGAGCTGGCTGATTCCAGAAAGGCTGAGCATGCGCAGCAGCTGATGCGTACCATGGTCAGGCTCGCTGTACGTCACCCCATCAAATTTGTGCTTAAGCTTGCTCTGTAACTCTAGATGTTCAGAGTGGCTGAACACCTCCGATACTTTGGTAGCTTTGGAAAAGCATGTTCTTCTAGTCTTTCTCTTCACTCCCCTGTGCTTTTGCTCCTAAAGGACTTTTATTTGTGTCTCCAGGATCTCCCACGTAATTACCCTGTTCATTTCCAGTTGCCAGTATTCTATTCCAGGTTCTTTTCCTGTCAATGCAAATGGTTAGAAGTAGCCTCAGGTGTGTTTGTTCTACCAAAGACTTTGTAATTTTGCGGTTCTAGAGTCTCCTGAAGCATTCTGTCCTTTGAATGAAGTTCAGGGAACTCTGTGGAGTACTGGTGTTCTTCATGAATGAATTCAGATTCCCCTCATCATACCTCAGCATGAACATGTTGAATGAGCACGTGCCACGGGCTAGACAGGCTTCACAGCACATTGTATGAGTAAACTCTTACCACAGCCCTGTGATGTCATCACCATCATTTTTATTCTTACCCACAGAAAACTGAAAACATAGATGGTCACACTACCTTTTCAAGGTCACCCATGGCACTAAGAGGTTGAGTAGGGATCAAAACTCAGAATTTTACCCAAGAGTACCTGCCTCTCACTGCATCAGGGAAAGAGAGGTGCCTAAAAAAGTTAGTTTTGTTTGGACACATCAGATAGTCATTATTCTTCTCTATTTGAAGATGTTTACTCTGCTTATCTCTGTTTAATGCCTTTGAAGTCTTCAAAGCCAGGCTCTTTCAGGATCCCTGTATTTTATCTTCCTGGTTGGAACTGAACCAACCAACCACCCTTGAAAGTTAAACTCACTAACTTCTTCCTTGTTGCAAATACGCTTGTCTTCCTCCTTCATAGATAGTCTTTGTACCTTTCAGTCAACACACAGTTGTCAGTTAATTCCGACTTGACCTACATCAGTGCTGGCTTGAGCTACATTCAAGGCCTTGGCTATCAGCTTCAAGTGTGATCCAGATCTGGGAGGCAATTTCAGATGCTTTTTGGTTCTTGAGTGTGTGGACTCTTGGGTTGAAGGGTGCTTTTGCAATGCAAGTTCTGTGATGCTACATAGAAGTATTTTAAGAATGCAAGTGGGGAGGAGAGGATGGGAACCCATCTTAGAACTGTGCTGATAGAGTGGTGTGGGTCATAAAGCAGGGAAGATACAGCGAAGAAGAGACCTGAACATGGGTGCATTCACCTCTGCCCACAGGAGCTTCCTGTTCCTCCCCATGGCTGCGCTACAGGTTTCCCACCATATTTCCTTCCTCTCTCTCCTCTCTCAGGGATTTTTTCATCCTCCCATGTCCTCCCCACATTCTCCCCACCCCTGCTTCCTGGTCAGTTTAAGTTGCCAGAGGACCAAAGAAAAGAGAATGAGATTTGACTCAGAGTTTTTCCTCACTCTTCAACTGCCTGGCCTTGCAGAGATGGCTTTCAAGATTTCCTCTCCATGCTTGTTTTACTTATAAGTTTCTGTTTTCTATCCTTTCAGATCCTCCTGCTCTCAGACACCACACAAGTCTACCTCCCAGAATTGTTCTCTGCCTCAGCCTTTGAGAACAATTCATTGAAGGAGAATAATAATAGCCATACATTTGAAAGTAGGAAACTTTTTATGTGATTTTTGATTCCGTTTATGAACTGGATATGGCTCAGTGGTAGGGCATATGCACACTATGAGGTCTACGTTCAATTCCCCAGTGCTGAATCCCTTTAAATAGCTGGGATGTTTCCTATTCTAGTTTAATCCCATGCCTCGTATATTAAACCTCTGACTAGAGCCAGCTTACTATGAAGGTGGGAAGCAAGCCCATCTTTCTCCTGTTAACATGGAATCCGAATGTGTCTATGATTACATGAGTTACATAGGATTTTATTTAGTTCATCTGGAAACTGTTTAATCAGCATACATATTATGTTTAATGTATTTCCAAGGGAAACAAAGAATGTAAGTCTTGAGCATCAGCCTTGGGCATTGGCACCTTTTAGATGTTTTATTTAACCTCAGTAACCCTCAAAGGAGATGCTATTGTTTCCAGTTTTACTGGTGAAACACTTGAAAGTTCAGTTAATGACATGTTCTGGGCTGGTGAAATACATGTCCCTCACTCCATTTTCTTATAACCTAAGCACTAATCTAGATCAGTTGCTGTCCTCCTCCTCCTCTTCTTCCTCTTCCTCCTCCTCCTCCTCCTCTTCCTATATGTCGTGCTCAAAGTTGAGGATTGCCTTATATAGTTAGGACATTGGCCTTGACTTATTCTTTAAAAAAATTATTTGTATGCATGTGTCTGTGTGCGTGTATGTGTGTGTGTGTGCATGCCACTTGCATACAGGTGCCCACAGGCCAGAAGATGGTGTAGGATCCACCAGAACTGATATATAAGTAATTGTAAAATATCAGATATGGGTGCTGGGAACAAAACTTGGGTACTTTATACAAACACCAAGCAGTGTTTTCTGCTAAACCACTCAGTCAGCTACTTCTGACTTATTTTTAACATTGCTATGCTTTTCAAATTTTATAACCACTAGAGATTGAAATATCTTCTGGCCCATAGTGATAAAGTTATCTCAAACTAGCCACAACCTTTCAATTCCCATTCCTCAGCCTTCCAGGTATTGTGGTTAGAATCACCACCCTTTTACCTGACAATGAAATCATTTTTCAAATGATTCTGTGGATAGGTGGCATATATGTATTGGAACTCACCTGAGCTGAACTTATTTCAGAAATGCAGAGTTTGAATTCAACCAAGCTGGCACTAGGGAGCAGTTGGAAATGTAAAATTTGGGTGTGGTATAATCAGTCTGTTCTATAAGTAGATTTCTGACAGCTGTGGGGAAGGAGGGCTGGAGATACAAGAGAAAAACAGGAGGTGATAAGAGGAGAGAGGAGAAATATGCCTTGAACTCTGATAGAGACGTACAGAAGGGCAAAGACGATGGGCTCATTCAGGGTCATAGTCTGTAAACTGGAGAGCACATTATTAAAAGCTCATTATTAAAAGAGTGAGCGAGGCAGCAGAAGGGATAAATTTGGGGACAGAAGGGAAAGAAAGCAGAGAGAAGCATTTCTAACTATCACTGTGGTTGGGTAGTGACACATGTAACCAAGATATGAAAATCTGCAGAAAGGCATTTTAGAGGAAGACATTTTAATTTTGAAACCATTGTACCTAGTAGCTTTAAGATGTGTTGATGAGTGCAAGTTACTCAGGAAAGCCTATGGTCAGGAAGGTTGTGACTGACTGAGGAACTCTAAGATGAGATACAAGGGGAAGCAAACACTTGTAAGACTAAGATGTGGGTAGAGAGACTGTGAGGGATGGGCAAGGTGGAGTGGGACAACAGGTGACTTAGAAGAGTGCTCCCCAACTTACAGCAACATTGGTAGGGCCTGGCAGGATGCATGCACTTTAGTTGGGTTTTGTAGATTAAAGCTCAGAAGGCTTGAATCAGCTGGGGCCAAGCTATCTGCTGCTCTAGAGTACTAAATATACAGAGGATACACAAAGACTTAGGTCTGTCTTTGATGAGGGAACATGGCTCCAGTGTTAGAGAGGGGCCATTAACATGAAGACCACTTCCTTCCTCTTCTCATTCCAGGGAGAACCTGTCATGCACTAAGGAACCTTGCAGATAGAAATTTAAAGATTTTTTTTCCTTTGCTGTTCTGGACTATGTCACTGAAATCTGTTTTTAGTGTTGTTTTTTAATCAAATGCAGGGGGTTTCCTAAGTCAATACATTTGTCTAGTTGAAACACTGGGAAGGAATAGTTTTCGTCGCACATAGACTGACTCTGATTTTCCTTAATTTCCATTGGTAGTGACATGGTAATTATAATTCATCAACTCTAGGAGAAATAATTCATACTCTGGTGATATCAGGCCACTTTTGTCTATCCTTAGACAATTAGAAGTCTCCTTCTGGCTCATCAGCCTGACAGTGAGTGGTGCAATCTCACTTTCAGTGGAGACTTCTGTCCAAATTGTAGCCAATCTGAGGGAAACTGCTTTTAGCTTAAATGCTGAGCTGTTGATGGATAACTATTATTTTCTCTTTTCTGGCATGGACAACTGAAACTCCTTGGGTAATTTTTTTCTTAGTCATCAAAATAATCTCAGTTTCCCTTGGAAATTTATACTTTTGTTCCATCTAGTTCAAAGAGGTAATTTCTCAATTGTCTTCTGTGGCTCAGATCCTTTGTACCATGCTCACATGGCTTAAATTTTGTAGAGAAAGTTAAAAAATTAGAGGTCCTGCCTAAAATCATTGTTAAATCATACATGACCAAACTGTAGCTATGTTTACATGTAAAAAGTCTTAGGCATGACCTAGTAGTGCAGGAACTCAGCGCCTCACAGAAATGTCCTAAAGAATTCTATAGTGAAGAAGGGATGCAACTGGGAGCCTGTGACCTACAACCCTTACCCTCAAATCGCCATCACCTACTTAAATATTGTGTTTGAGCGTGTGTGTATGTGTACATGGACATATGTATAGATTTTGTGAAGAATGCTGTTCACATAAGATTGTCATTTGAAAGGAGGGCCTCAACCATGAAAAACTTGGAAACCATTGTCAGAGAGAGCAGGCTCTGACATTACATTCAATGTCATACATGAGGTAACTTGAGTATTATCAGATTCCCTAGTAATTGTCCCTGCCTTACTTTTCCTTGGCTTGTGTATTGTCCTGAGTATGGACATGGCAGGCTGGCTGCTTGTAGTCACAGCAAAACCATCCTCCCTGTTAGTAGGTTCAGAGAGGTGGTTGTCTGTTCCTTTATGTAACGTGTTCAGAGATGTCGTTGTTTTCAAGTTCAGAATAGCCTTTTGGAGAGAATTGTTCTGATTTACTGTAATTGTATAGCTCCTCCCCCTATGATTGAAGCTCATTCTCCTTCATCTTTTATTTGGAAGAAAAGGATAATGTTCAATAGCAGTCTTCTACAGACCATTTTTTAACATAGTTTGAGACTATTTATTAAAACACCATCTCATCTTTTATTCAACTAATAAAACTTCAGTTAGTGGTTTGACTGTGTAACCCATCATTTATCTCTGTCTTTTTATAACAATAGACTCTGTACTGCCCTTGGCTTAAAGTCAGATCTTTGTGTGTGTGGTAGAGATGACCATTTATTTCCACTGGGTCCCCTCTAATTTAAGTTCTTGCTAAGCAGTAGAACCAACCGGCGACTTTCTCTATTCTGTTCTCAGCCAAGCTTTGTTATCTTCAGATTGACATTCAACTCCTATCATGATGACATCTGGATGCCTTTATTTAAACTCTATCCAAAGGCCTCCCGGTGGAGACTTCTTTCTATTAGCTACATTTCTGTCTTGGTTTGGAAACCCCTCATACCTGCTTTTGAAGAGTTACAATTATTTTTAAGAACAAAGATCAAGTCTTATTCATCTATCTTTCCCCAAGTGCTAAGTACCAGGTCTTCCAGACTCTACATACAATCAGTGCCTGGTGCACAGTGAGTAACTGAACTGTACTATTGTGCTCCCATGTGTTCATAAATCTTAGTACCTGTTTATATCTTGGCCTTCCTTTCATTTCTTGTAGTTCCTACATATTATACAGGTTTTCTCAGAGTACTGTCACTTGAATCTTACATTTACTTTATGGTTGAAAAACATAGGCAGAAAGCTTATTGCTGCTTTGGGTAGCCCTTGAGGGTAACTGCCAAATTAAAATGAAGCGTCGGTAGTTTGTGATCTGGACAGTAAAGGAGATTTGGGAAGATTTTTTTTTTCCAAATAAATGTGCCTAAGTTCTTTATGATTACAAAATAAAGAAAAAGACTAATCTGATAAACTCAGTGTTGTTTATATCTGTTTTTACCTCAAATAAGGTGTATGTTAAGGAAGATGTTTAAAAATTTTTAATTGCATTCATTTGTTTGTGCGTGTGTCTGAGAGAGAGAGAGAGAGAGAGAGAGAGAGAGAGAGAGAGAGAG